GTGTGTGTGTGTGTGTGTGTGTGTGTGTGTGTGTGTGTGTGTGTGTGCATTACACTGGAGTATATGTGTGGGTGTGTGGGAGATCAGAAGAGAACTTTCAGGATGCGGGGGTTGGTTCTCTCCTTCTACCTCGTGGGTTCTAGGGATTGGACTCAAGTTATGGTGTTTGGCTGCAAGCACCTCTGCACTCTGAGCCATCTCACCAGCACCCAATCTATGTTAGTAATCCATTGTGGGTAACACTGCAATCCATGGACCCATTAATTTAGCCTGAATAATTCTGTAATCCACCATTAACAACTGATCTATAAGACACCTGGTCAGTGCTTACCTAAACTGTTCCATTTCATTTTCTACATGTATTAATTCATTACATTTGGGACTAAAAATTTCACACAAGGTATTTTATTAATTATTTTAGCTTTGAATCAAGTGTTGATCACAAAGCGTGAAGTCAAAGCTAAACAGAAAAAAAAAGTTTTAGTCACAGCACAGTGACTATGGCTAATTATTTTAATATTAATAACAGAATAGATTTTAAATAATAAGTATGTGAGGCCATAGTCAAGTTAGTTCAATTGATTTAAACATTCTACAGTTTATGCGTGTATTAGAGTCTTACTTCATACTTCATATATATATATATATATATATATATATATATATATATATATATACTATTTGACAGTTTTAAAAAGATGAAATAAAATGTTTAAAATGAGAACTACTTAAAGTGTTAGTGTTAAACCTTAGTTCTTATTTGTTTGGATTTTGTCAGAGGTACTGAGGGAAAAAACCTATTAACCAAAATTAACATTATCATACTTAAATTTCATGTACTTATCATAGCTAGGCACTATAGATATAACAGAGAGCCATCATTTAGGTATAATTATATGTTTTTAAATGAGCTAAAATGGAAGAGAAACTTAACTGAGTCCATAATATAAGTGGCAGAGATAGTAAATCCAATTCTGATAAGCAAGTTTATGTACATAAATACTAGTTTATAACACACTGGGTAGAATGGAATATGGAGTACAGATGATTATGATCAAAATTTAAAAATTTTCCTTTGTTTCATGGCAGCCAGTCTATCATAGATCCCTTAGAGTTAAGTAGATTCAGTTTAATATTTGACTTTCATAAGAGCTTGGATAACTGTGGAAATGTTTTACTCTGCCCCTGGCTGTGTGGTCTTGTGACATCAGAATTCAATTCAAAACTTTATAGTTCTAAACATTCAAGATGACATTCCACAGAACCTCAGTGGTTATGTTTTCCAATTTCAAGTAAATGTGCCCAACTGACACATGTGTTCTGCTGGGAGGTGATTGCTTATAGTCTGCTTGATCCCAGAATTAACTGAGGAACAAGAAACTTCCACCAACCATCCAGGGGCCTTTCCCCTCTATAACCGCATGGTTCTTGTACAGGTGCAAAGTAGCAAGAGTAAGAAAGGAGTTGGAAGTTTGGATCACATGAGCCACAAGTCACCTATGGAGAATTGTTTTCTAGGTTCAGTTGGCAACCACTTACAAATCATCCCGTCCAACAAACTGAAGCACCACGTGTGCTCTACTCTCCTACTTTACAGCAAGAAGCTTCTTCAGTGTTCTCATAGTACACCCCGCAGAAACAAGGAGGGATTCTGTCTAGACTGCATGTAAATTGCGAGTAATCATGGCCACAGCTATAAACTCAAGTATCCAACACCTTTCCCACCCACATAAGCACTACAGCACCCTGCTGTTCTCATGGAAAGAACATGAGATTTCTTTCCCATCAGCATGGCAGCCAGAGAAATATTTTGTTGTTGTTAGTAATAGTGACAAATTTGTAAAGTATTTATAACAACTGCTCAAATCTCTTTTACTTACCATCAAGACATGTTTTGAGCTCTGTAAGCAGGCGAATGCCATGTCCTAATTTCACGAACATCCTGTAGCATTCTCAAGAAGCAAAGGTAACTAACTACTCTGAGTTACACCCTGGACATGAACACCCCTCTCCACTGAGCAAGCCCAACAAGGAAAACTATCACTGTCATGAATCGTGGGGAAGAAAACCAGAATCCTCATAGTAGGTGCCTTACCATTACTCTTAGTAGGTTCCTGACAAAGGGTGCTCCAGAGGCCCAGATTGAGGATTAAGAGTTCCCTAAGTAACGCTGGGGTCCCAAGCATGGCAGGCAGGGTCTTCATTTCCAGCACATATCACACAGAGGGAAACGCCTCAAGCAGAAGGCTTCGTCTTTTTTCCTAAGGTTCTTCGGAGCTAGATCATATTATTCACCCAAGCCGCATCTTAGGGGGGGAAAAAAAAAAAACTCAAGAGCACCGGTGGGACAGTGCCAACAGCCTGAATGATTTTGTGAAAGCAAAAGATACTGCTGTGGTTTTGTCTCTGATCCAATCTGCTGCTCTCTTTCAGGCACTCTGATGTGCAAAGCAGCTGGGTACTTGCTTCTCCTTCCGCCCCGCCACTGCTCTTGCATAACCTTGAGGTTTTTCTCAAAGTGAACACTTAAGCTTTAAAGAAATCTTAATTGTTATAGTCTTTAGGTTTAGATTCTGCTCATATCCGGGTTGGGAAATTCATGGTAAAAGTACCTATGGTAAGCATACATTTCCCTTTTTCATAGCTTGTGATTATGATACTTCATTGGTGTAGTGTATCTTAGAAGCCCCTTCCCGCCCCCATCATGTCGGGGTAAGATGAGAAAGTTTCTTGCTGTGAAAACAATGGAGACTTATCTGACGATACGGAGAAAATGAGTGATGGCATATTTCACCAACAGCAAAGGGAAGGGCCTCCTTCAGCCTGTAGATGCCTATCAATGGAATATGCTCACTTTTGGTGCTGGCTACTCGTTCTTTCTAAATATTAAAGTTCTAAGCAAAGTGAGGTCTTGAATACCAATTAAAGGAAACTTCCATCTCCAGTTTGCTTCATGTGGTTGCTGTCTAGATGAAGCACTGAAGTAGAAAATGGAAAAAGATTAAAATTGGATAGCTCAGGGTTGCAGGGAGGCGGGGGGGGGGGAGGCTCCCAGCCCACATTTAGTCACTGGCTTATAACAACAGGGACTTATTCCAGATGAAGAGGTGGTACCTGTGCATTCAATAGTCATTGCATGAAATTCAAACATCTTTCCTTCAGAGGCTGGAGATATCCTCCCAAGGCCAAACTCCAGTTAGTATAGTTATTGGGTATTCATTGATTCAAACAGATATGCCACAGTGGCTGGGATACAAACATGAATGAACACTGTTCCTGAATTTAAGGAATTCAGCCGACCAATACTGATACCCACACACCCAGGCACACCAGATAACAGAGTCAGTCTGCAGAGCTCTAAAAATCTGCACTGCTGACCAAGGAGGCACCCTGTTTGTGGTGCGTTTCATACAACTCATTCATTTTCCCTGCTCAGATTGGGGTGTGAAACCCTTTTGGCAGTTGAAGCAAGGATCAATGCCCCTCTAAAATGGCCTGAGAGGTTTGGAAGAAAAGCCTTTGAACCACCCATCCTAAAGTTCAAATATCATCCGAACGAGAAATGAACACTCTCAACTGCAGACCTTCATAATTCTCTACTCTGCAACTGTTTGCCTCCCTTCTTCTCCTTTTCCTTCTCCCGCTTTTGGTGTGTGTGATGTGTGGAAATGTTCATGTAGATGCGTGTATGTACTGAATGCCTTCTGCTGAGAGTGTGCAAGGGTCTGAGTTCTTTCACAATCATTCTGCACCTTATGTTTTTAGACAGCATCTCTCACTGAACCAAGAGCACATCAGTTTTGCTAAAGTAACTGACAATGGTCTCCAGGAATCACCTACCTCTCATTCTCCCCCAGAACTGGGATTACAAAAAGACACTGCCATATGTGGCCTTTAATGTAGCTTCTGAGGCTCTGAACTCAGGTCCTGATGCTTCCACAGCAGGTATCTTACTTACTGAGCCATTTTCTCAGCCTAGTGGGGTTTTTTTTTTTCATATAAAAGAATTCATACTAAATAGATAAAATTTGAAAAAAATATCATATAAAACATCTAATGAATTTTTAAAATGTATTTATTTACTTATTTATGATTACAGTTTGTTCACTTTGTACCTGGCTGTGGCCCCCTCCCTCATCTCCTCTCAGTCCCACCCTCCCTCCCTCTTATTCCCCTATGCCTCTCCCATAGTCCACTGATTGGGGAGGTCCAACCCCCCTTCCATCTGACCCTAGCCTAGTCTCATCAGGACTGGCTGCATTGTCTTCCTCTGTGGCCTGGCAAGGCTGCACCCTCAGGAGGAGGTAATCAGAGAGCCTTACACTGAGTTCATGCCAGAGAAAGCCACTGCTCCCCTTAGTAGGGAATCCACTTGAAGACTGAGTCTATGGGCTACTTCTGAGCAGAGGCTTTAGGTCCTCTCCATCCATTGTCCTTGGTTGAGGTGTCAGTCTCTGCAGGGCCACCAGGGCTTATGGTGTTTTTGTTTGTTTTGTTTTGTTTTGTTTTGTTTTGTTTTGTTTTGTTTTGTTTGGCTCTGTTGGTCTCCTTTTGGAGCTCCTGTCCCCTCCAGGTTTTTCTATCTGCCACTTCTTTCATAAAATTCCATGCCCTCGACCCAAAGTTTAGCTGTGAGTCTCAGCCTCTGCTTCAATACCTCCATCAGGAGTAACTTTCAGAGGCCATCTGTGCTGGGCTCCTGTCCTGTTTTCTGTCTTCTGCTTCCAATGTCTATTGTGTTTGCAGGCAAATGGTGGGAACTAGAAAAAAGTGAGGTATCCGAGAAGCAGAAAGACACACATGGTATATACTCACCCATAAGTGGTTACTAGACATACAATATAGGATAAACATACTAAAATCTATACTCCTAAAGAAGCTAAACAACAAGGAGGACCCTAGGGAAGATGCTCAATCCTCATTCAAGAGGGCAAACATCTAACAGATGTTAAGTGGTGTCCATTCTGGTATTTTTATCAGTGTGTCTGGCTATTTGTTCCTGCACAGCTGAGAGAGCTGGGAGGACCACTGGCCAAGACTTTGTCTCACAATCTCACTCTTGTCTTTATTCTAGTGAAGAATGGAAAGAAGTCATATTCAGAAATGCATTGCTCAGTGACAAGTCTGTCTTGCCTTGTGTTTATGAACTTATCCAGTAGCTAGGCTTTTTATTGTAATTTCCATGTCAGTGCACACATTAAACCAGTTTACTGCATTCTCAGAAGTGCTTCCTTTGTATACTAAGAGCAGTTTCTAAAACACAAATTCATTGCCAGTTTTATGTTGAGTGACAAAAAGCAAAATAGAATTTGGGAAAATGCAAATTATCTTTATAAAAACCCAAGAGCTACTTGCATAGCAAATTATCCCACTCTCTTGCTGACTTGGTTACTTTCATGAATCAATAAGAAACACCTAAAGAAGCTAAGAAAGAAGGAGAACCCTGGGAAGATGCTCAATCCTCATTTAGAAAGGCAAATGGGATAGACATCAGAAGAGGGAGAAAACAGGGAACAAGACAGGAGCCTACCACAGAGGGCCTCTGAAAGACTCTACCCAGCAGGGTATCAAAGCAGATGCTGAGACTTATAGCCAAACTTTGGGCAGAGTGCAGGAATCTTATGAAAGAAGGGAGAAATGAAAGATCTGGAGGTGATAGGAGGTCCACAAGGGGACCAGCAGAACCAAAAAATCTGGGCCCAGGAGTCTTTTCTGAGAATGATACGCCAACCAAGGACCATTCATGGAGGTGACCTAAAACCCGTGCACAAATGTAGCCCATGGCAGTTCAGTCTCCAAGTAGGTTCTCTAGTAAGGGGAACAGGGACAGTCTGTGACATGAACTCAGTGGCTGGCTCTTTGATCACCTCCCCCTGAGGGGGAAGCAGCCTTACCAGGCCACAAAGAAAGATAATGCAGCCAGTCTTGATGAGATCCCATAGGCTAGGGTCAGATAGAAGGGGAGGAGGACCTCCCCTATCAGTGGACTGGGGAAGGGGCATGGGAGGAAATGAGGGAGGGAGGGCAGGATTGGGAGGAGACAAGGGAGGAGGCTACAGCTGGGATACAAAATGAATAAATTGTAATAAATAAAAATAAATTAAAAGAATTTTAAAAAGAAACTTTACATTCTGTAATATTTTCTCCAGGTGATCACAAGAACAGCAATCAAAAACTTAGATGCAATAGTGTCAGACAAAATCAACCTTTTCTTAGTGTGAGTTTTTTAGCCACACACCAAATAATATTCCATAGCTTCCACCAGAAGTGCCACTTCACATCTAAAACCATTGTCATTCTAATATGTGTGCTTTCCTCACTAATGTTATTGCTAGCAGTGGCATCTACACACGACTGTTCTTTACAACCAGTTTGAGTATGTATTAGAAAATGACTAAGATTCCTGGATCCTGCTCTTAGCCTCCTGAATTCAGATCCCACAGAGATGTGGTCAGAGAATCCTATTTTGAAAAACATACAAACTGGGTTCTGACCCTTTGGACTAAAAAGATAATTAGAAACAGAGTGGTTGGCAGAACTCGTGAACTTTTTATATGTGGCATCAAATATTTGACACTCACTATGTATGTGAGTGTGCGTGTGGTTTTCATTCTTAGACCCAAAGTTAGACCTAGAGGTGCCCGGCATTCACTGTCCCCTACAGATATGTTTACTCTTAGCTGTGGGCATGGCAGTTAGCATAACGCTCAAATGCTAACTCCCTCAGCATGTTCTCCATTGAGAACAACCCCATGCTGGGCCGTGCTGTTCCTGATGCCCTGCATGCCACAGTGGACTAAGAATAGCGTGCTATTCTTGGCTATTTTCACTCAACATGGAGGACTGCTCCTGAGAAGTTCTTGTTATAGAACTTGTCATTGAACAGGCCAAAGATATCAGGCCTGCATCACAGTTTAACTTTTTCCTGTCTCCAGTCTTGCTTCAACTCTGTCTTTACACAGTATGGAGTTCCAGTCCCCTCAATATATGTTCCCACTAAACAAATACACTCATAGCTCTATTACTGGTTGAATAAAGATGGTGCTAAGACTGTTAGGCTGGTTGCTTAACTGGGGTGATTATGGATAGTGATTAGCAATTGTATCTATTATTATCAAATAGTTTTTGTTTTTAAAGGATAGATATAGATACCATGAAGTAGTTCTTTAATAAGCCAAATGACACACACATACATAGAGAGAGAGAGAGAAGACACACATACACACATACCACATTCCAAGACCATCTTATGTAATTTTA